CTTTTACTTTGGTCAATGTTGAAGCAATAGCTTAAGCAGTAGTCTGTCCTGTGAGAACAGCCAGGAAAATAAGCTGAGGTCCACATGCCCCAGACTAGAGGAAATCAGACAGCAAGCCCAAGACAGAAGCAGAGGTTCCCCACAGCCCTGGTGTGTTCTTTCCACCCAGTTTCCGTGGGACCCTATGTGAGCATTGGGAGAGCTTCCAGATGCTCTGAGCAATACTATGTAGCAAAATAATCAATTTTAGGATGACAAAAAAGGAGAACATTAAGAAGGAGGCAAGAGGGCTGAGAGATGGCTCAACGGTTCAGAGCACTGGTTGCTCTTCCAGAGGACTGGGTTCAGTTCCCATCACCCACATGGTGGCTCACAACCATCTATAACTCCATTTCCAGGGGATCCAACACCCTCTTCTTGGCCTCTGTGGGCACCAGCCATGCATGTGTTACACAGGCATACATGCAAACAAACACTTAAAATAAATAAATGTTTAAATAAAAAGAGGGTAGGGGACCAGTGTGTAATAACTGAATGTCCTCAAAAATCAGATGCCTTCAAACCCCCAAGACCACTGTTAAGCATCCCTTAGTGGCTGCTGTTTCCAGTTAAGCACTCTTAATCACTATGAAAAGTGGAGCAATGTTCTGTCTTCGGAATTTGAAAATCTTTTCCAGCTAACCACCTGAAAATGCAGAGTTGTGTTGGGAGACACTCCTGTCTGGTTTAAGTGGTGCTGTGGCTCACCAAGCCAGGAGGCTTCTCATAGCCATCCACATTTTCTGCTATTTGGTGTTGGGACCTATGACCTATAATCCCCTTACGTGAACAAAGATCTAGAAACCATGCAGGCCAGAGCTCAGTGTACTGAGGAACTGAGTATAAAACCCTGGGATGGATACCAGGGTAATTCTGTGTGTTGCAGATCCTGTTAGCTGTCAACCAACTGTAGGGTTTCTCTTTGCTGTTCCTGAAATCATGGTGCTTCCAAGCTGTATTTGTGTAAAAGCTTCTTGGTCTTGGGGTTCATAGCTAAAAGTGAGCTATAAGACATGGTGATTTGTAGTAGGGAGAAGCATGTTGAATTTCAACTTCATATCCTATAAGATGTGAACCTACCCTAGCAGCATGGTGGTAGAGTGAAGACCAGGGACACATGCATCAGATAGCCTGTGGTGTCACAGTGTGCCCTACCAAAACAAAAGCCACGGGTTGGGTGTGTGTGGGGTGGGGGGACAGCTGTAATCTCAGCCCTTAGAAGGCTGAGGCAGGATCATGAATTCAAAATCATCCATATATGTTGATCTCCAGCACAGCATATAGCCCAGGCTGGTCTTGAACTCCTTATATATCTGAAGATAACCTTGAACTCCTAATCTCTCTTTCCAGATATTAGGATTACAGTGCAGGTGTGGGACACCCTTTGTCTTCCCTTCCCCTGGGATCTGGAACCTCTTCCCAGACAGATGCTGCACCATCCTGGAGAGCACTTCCACCTCCCAACAGCTTTCCCCACTCTCACAGCAGTTACTTTTCCCTGCTTCTCGCTCTCTAGTCTAGCAAGCTGCAAAGCAATTATCAGTCCTCTTCTCTTTCTCCCTGGCTAGACTCTGAGCATTTGAAACATCACCATCAAAGCCTCAATCTACCTGTCCAATTACACATCTCTGTTGCATGCCTAGCACCGTGCCAAAGATAAATAAACACCTCTCGAGGAAAGAAATGGATGCCTGTCCCCTCAGCAGGGTGAGCTCTCAGACAGTCTTGCTCTTTCTCATGCATAGGATGTGTGTTTAAGGCAAGAGCTGCCCACAGAAGAAAGATTCCCTAAGCCCAAAGAGGAAAAGCAAAGCAGAGAGGACTCTTCCTGAGAGTAAAGTTGTTCTTTAATTTGCTGGATGACTCCTGGTTGAGTCTATCTGTATAATCTGAAAAGAGGTAGATATAGTATGGGGGCTGCAGGAGGAAGGCTGAGATGGAAATGAGGCTCTCTGTCTGTCTGTCTGTCTGTCTGTCTCTCTCTCTCTCTCTCTCTCTCTCTCTCTCTCTCTCTCTCACACACACACACACACACACACACACACACACACACACACACACACTTCTTGTAGTGTCCACCCTTCAGGCATCTGCAAGAACATTTGCTGGCATGCTGCATACAATGGCCTTCCTGGAAGTCTCTGCAAAATCCAGGCCTGGCTTCCCCTTTAGATAAGATGTTGATGTCGGCTACCCCACTGTCCTTGAAAAGCTAGTTGCCCAGTTCCAGCTGTTAAACACCTGTGTCCACCCAGCCATGGTTACCACAGTCAAGCCACCCAGATTCCAGAATGAACTCTCCAGGATGATGGGCACACTGGTGCCATCTTCCAGGTGGTGAGCCCAAGCATGTCCATGTCTTTTGAATTATCCAGTCTTCAAAAAACAATGATTCATATTTGCCATGTTTGACCAGTGGCTCCAAGTTTCTTAGAAGAATCATCTAGATTCTTTAAGGATGTGCCCTCCATATCATTCCTGCTCCCACAACTCCTCTCCAGGAACCCAGAGGCTGTCCAGATGATTACAAGTTCTCCCCAGACTTGCTGCCTCAAGAATGCCATGGACATTCATAAAAAAGAAGGCAGGAGCTGGAGCAGAAAGGACCAGGCCCTGAAGCTCCTTTTTCACTCCAGCCCTGCTACAGCCTGAGGAGTAGAAGCCTCAGGGGAAGGCAGCCTGAGGCTCCCACAGAAAGCTCCGGTGTGTTGTCTGTGGAGCTAAACTCTACTGCATGAAGCATAGTGTTACAGTTGAGCATAGCCTGGAGACAGAGGAGAGGTCAGGCGCCACTGGGGAGATGCGCCCCATGTGAATATCTCCTGAGCACTGATGAGTCTCACACCAACCAGTTCCCACCAGATCCAGGAGTGTGGGGGACAGATGGAGACAGAAATGAGCCATGACTAAAGAGGGTGGGGTGCCATGCACATCACCATCCAGACATTCCTCCTGCTGCTATTTTTATCACCGCAATCATAAAATTGGTGTCAGATGGGCTGGTCCAAGTTCCTCAAGCTGAGGATAGGAGATAGTGAACTTCTTTCCAGGAAGGAGGGGTGCTGCAGGAGGCCCTTAGGAATGTGCTTCTCAAAGACCAGGCTTCACCATGAACCTCACCAGCCCTGGGCTGTGTTCCTATAACCATAACAACAGGCTCATCCCACCCTCTTTAGTCCTGGCCCTCTGAACTCAACACACACAGAGTCTTCTGAATGCAGACTGTGAACCAAACATGAGGAGTCCGAGAAAGATATGATCTGTGGCCCTGGAGGGGTTTGTGTTTCAGTGAAAAGGAGTGCCATGCGCAGAGATGGTGTCTGCTGGACTGTCAAGGGTGTGAGACTAAGGAGCCTGGTGCAGGGAGGCTCTGGTCTCTGTGGGCTCAGGGGAAGCTCCAGGTAGAAATGACAGTTAGCTCCGACTCTTCAAAAATCAGCAGAGGGGTTGGATAAATAGAAGAAAAAGAGCCTCTGGGAGAGGGGAGTGTGAAGGAGAATGACATTTTTTTTTTAATTAAAGAGTGCTGACCTAGTATGGTTCCTCAGCCAGATGAGGAACAGTAGGATGCTGCCCACATGCTGGACATCTCTCAGAAAGGATGGCAGGTGTGGGCACTCCCTACCCAAGTCAGGTCTGGGCCTATGCTACTCCACAGAGGCTAAGGCCATGTCATGATAAAGTCAAGTCAGTCAGGCTTCTGTGTCATGTCCGTCCCCCTCGCCCCTCTTCCCGGGGAATTAGCTTCTTAGAAATCATATGACCAGCAGTCTGCTAATCTGACTGAAGAGCTCCGGTGTACCCTCCCCATCCCCTGCTGCCACCCCCCCACACACAACCCTGAGCTGTAGCTCTTCCTCCCTTGGCCTCTCCCCTCCCCCCAAGCTATACAAGTTAGCACTACCATTTCAGTAAACTGTCTTTAGAAGTCGTCTCCCAGGTCATTCATACCCACATATCCAGCTCCTCAGCATCCTGAGACTGCCAGTGCACAGGTGCTGATAAAGGTAGGGCGCCCACAGCCTAGCATGCACTAACCCTGGGTTCCTTTCCTAGCATAAGCCAAGTGTGACACACACCTGTAACCCAGGACTCGGGCGGTAGAGGCCCGGGTTGGGAGTGCATGGCCTTACTTGGCAATGTAGCAAAAGCAAGGTCACCCTGAGCTACACCAGATCCTGTCTCAAAAGACAAAAGCCTGTAGATGTATCCAAAACCAATGTAACTGAGGTATCCCTGAGGGACCCAAATACACACCTGCATTGACCATTGCCTTGGAGGCTGCTCAGGGTGGAAGCTGGTGCAAGAAGCCACCTGTATCCTTAAAGGGCCTCCTTTCTGAAACTAGGCTCCAGAATCTCTGCTGAGAGCAGAGCCAAGCTATGAGGGTTGGCCTGCAAGTGGCCATGGCACAATAGGGTGTTAAAGCTGGACGCAAACTAGGACCTCCCACCATGGGCTTTGGGGCGGAACATGTAACTAACCTCTAGCTAATGACCAAGACCCTCTTCACCAGCCACAGGAAGTAAGGCTGGATTGTTAACTAGGAGCTAGAACTAAGAGCAGAACCTTCTAGATTCTGTAGCTCTCAATCTGGACTCTTAATTTGTGTTACTAAATGCCTGGAGATTCAGAGAGAAATTTAATGACCCAAAATGGGGCATATGGAGAAAACAGGAAGAGCTGTGCCACCAAGAGATGGCAGGAAGTGGATTTGCAGATGTGCTGGCTATCTGGGGCTTGGAGGCCTGGTTCTCATTTCCTCTGACCAGGCATTCCAAGCTCCACCCCCACCCCGTGAGTCATGTCTTCTCACAGCCTCCTACCACCTGTCTGGCCACAGCCTCTGGGCTATAGGCCGCTGGGAGCCAAGGCCAGCTTTATGGCCTGAATAAAGTGGCAATGAAATTAATGGCATCCTGTTGATGTGACTAAAGCCATTCCCCTGTGTTTCCAAATAGGAATGAGAGAGGAGATGTCACTGGGATGCCAGGAGGCTTTTGAAATTTTCAAGAGGGACCATGCTGACAGTGTCACCATCGATGACAATAAGCAGATTCTGAAGCAGAGGTAAGATCCAGTCAGAGAGTAGCTGCCCACCCCCACACCCCAGGCTTAGGTAGGCCAGTCCCAGACTTCCTACTCTGGCCTTCTAACCTGTTAGGCTAATGTCTGCAAGAAAGGTTAATGTCTACAGTTTCACATGTCCCTGTGTGTACCCTGTTACAATTCTCTTTTCACATGTGAGATTCACCATCCCAGTGCTAGTGGGGTAAGCGTCTTGTAGGTCAGGGGTCTGTCAGCTACTGACAGCATTAGCTCTATGGACAAAGCTCACTTTGTATGTATTCTCACCAGCTTAGGACTGTTACAAATGTCCTTATAATCTTCAGGAGAAAATGAGTCAAGCTGGCAAGCTGGCTCAGTGGATAAAGTGCTTGCTGTGTGAGCATGGGGTCCTGAATTCCAGTCACCAGCACCGTGCACCTGTAATTCCCAGCCCTGGGAAGGCAGAGAGAGAGAGAGAGAGAGAGAGAGAGAGAGAGAGAGAGAGAGAGAGAGAGACAGACAGACAGACAGACAGACAGAGGAGGTTCTCTGGGGCTTGATAGCCAGCCAGTCAGCCAGTCTAGTAAGATAAATGAGTTTCATGTTCAGCATCTCAAAAATAAAAGAAAACCACAATGTAATAGAATTGGCCTCTAGTGTACACACACACACACACACACACACACACACACACACACACACACACAAACTCTAGGATATTGACCAAATTACACTCTTAGGTCTTCCATTATTTGGTAGAATCAAGAGTAGATGAAAGGCCTGAGGAGAGAGATTAGAGATGAAGGCTTAACATAGCTGCTACAGGGAGGGATGAGAGACTTGACAGGAAGGGCCAAGGGACAACCCCAGACTGACAGCTGCTTCCCCAAGGCATGGGCAGATCCCAGTGCTCCTCAGGAGTCCAGTAACACAACTCAGGCCCATCGCTCTGGAGAGCAGTCCGGCTCAGTCCAGAGAAGTGTGTGCACCTGGTGACCTGTCAATTCCATTTGGGGTTAATACCCCACCCTATGGGGACATTTAGGGGAACTTGTCATGGCTGCATTGCTTGTAGCTGGGGATAGTTGAACATACTCTAGGTTCCAGTGCTGAGCAGCTGACAGGTAATATAGAGCCCAGGGCAGCTTGGTACACATCTGTTGCCTAGCTACACTGCTGCCATGACAGGCTCAATAGAAACCAAGTAAAAAGTAGGCCTGAGTTTCAGTTTACCCTAAGGCAACACCTGGCTCCAGGAAAGAGCACAAGCTGGGACTACCCAGTTACCACCAATGAAGGGACCAATCATCATTAAGGGGAAAATACCTTATGTTCCAACCATTGTAGACAAGATCACCAGATGTCCCTTAACCCAGCACACATCCATCCATTTCACCCAGACACCCCTAGATAATTGTCAGCCAATCAGGGGTCCTGAACCTTAGATATCTCTCACCCCAACCTGTGCTATGATAAACCTCGCCCCCCTCAACTGAGCTGGAGGCTCTCTGATTGTGCCAGTGCCTTGGATACATGGAGGGCCAAAGCTCGAACTTGAATAAAGACTCTTTGCTTTTGCATAAGGGATTCAGACTCTTTGTTGGTTGGGCTTGGGGGACTTCAAGATCTGGGTTTAGCAGTAATATAACAGAAATTCCATGGATTGGGATGTAGTGTGGTGTGGGGAAGGGATGATGGATTAGATGCTTGCATAGCAACAAGATAGATCTTAAAGGCACAAGACTAGGAAGGAACACAATTCCAAAAACCTACAAATGGACTAACCTAAAACCAGAGCCGTCCATACACAAAGATCCACCTGAGTGTACCCCACAAACAGAAGGGGGGTTAGATAGAGGGCTCACTGGTTAAGAGTGATGGCTACTTAAGCATGAGGGCCTGATTTCAGATCCCAGCACCCATGTCAAACTCTGGACTTGGCCACTCAAGCACTTCTCACTCCAGTGCTGTGGGGTAGAAAGGAAGATTCCTGGGGCTTGCTGGCTGCCAGCACAGCTCTGTTCAGGGAGACACACTGTTTCAGGGAATAACTTGGAGATTGATAGCCTGGGACACCTGGTGTCCTCCTCTGCCCCCACATACACACAAAGACTCACATCCAACACACACTTGCACATGTACCACACATAAAGAATAGAAGTGGGGGGGGAGCTAAAAAGCAATCAGAGTCAATGACCAAAGCCAGGCTAGGGAGGAATTGAGTAACTCTGGGAAGAACTGAAGACTCTCTGCCTAGAAGCATGGGCAGGCACATGCTGGCTTTAATGTTAGCATCTGAGACCAAAGGTACTTCAAACCCTCTGATGCTTCTGCTCCCCTGCATGCCAGGCATTCCTGATAAAGCCAATGGGGTATGTTGGAACAGGCTACCTTCCTTGGGTGTCTGGAAACAACATTGGCAACTAGATGACAGCTGCTTCCTTCTCCAAGAAAGATCTCCACCAAGCCTGGAGGCTTCTTTGTCCATGCTCACAGTCATGACTTCCTAGTGAAATGATCCAAGGTGATACCAAATACAACCAAGCCTGGGTCCAACTCCCCAGACACTCATGTAACTAGGTGGGGCCTGAGCATCTGGATAGCACTAACAACCTGATTTGGAAACCACTGGCCTATAGTATTCAGCAGCCTTGACCCCCAGGGCCTTTGAAGGAGGAGTCCCATAAAAAATTAATAGGAGCTGAGAAGGTGGTTCTTTTGGTAAAGTGCTTTCCATGTAAGCCTGGGGATTTGAGTTCAACCCCAGACCCCCACAATAATTAAAATAATAATAGTAGTAATAAAAGCTGAGTACAGTGTTGCAGTGGGCTGTGTTTATAATCCCAGAGCTGGGGAGGTAGAAGCTGGTGGGTTCCCGAGACTCAGGAGCACTAACCCAGCTTACTAGGCAAGTTCCAGGCATCGAGAGATCTTACTCCAGAAAACAAGGTGGGTGGAGCTAAAGAAATGATACCTGAAGATGGCTTCAGTCCACACCTGCACACGGGCACACACACACACACACACACACACACACACACACACACAATGATACTTTGTATACCCAAGTTTAAAAGCCACTAACACAGCAGATGTACTTCATTTTTCCCTTTTGTAAAATCATCATGGCTCCTGGCTGGTGTAGGCTTGTAAGTCTGGACCTGTTTCTGATAGGAAAGTAGGTCATGGCCTGCCAGGGGAGCATGTGTGGGTCTCTCAAAGGCTTATCCATACAGACAGTAGAGTTCTGGCAACCTAAGCAGCCATCATGATTTTACTGGAAGCACATCTTGTTCACCCACAATGGGCAGTACTACCAATGCTCCCATCCTCCTCTTGGCCATTATGCAAAGGAATTAACAAGAACAAGACTCACAGGAAACTCTCTGAAGACGTCTGCCCAACAATAAATCCAACAAAAAGGCAGGAGACCAGCCCATTCTAAAAAGGAAATTCTGTATCTGTTAATGTTGATATAATTGAAGTCATTACGGAAGTGCTTCATGCCAAGAGGCAATGGGGTACCACCTGGAGCCTCACTTTCTCTCTGGACCTACACTCTTATTCATTTTACAGAGATTATTCAGTTAGTACATTCCTGGCCATGTCAAGTGGGGGTCTCTGGAGGAACACAGAGAATAAATGAATACATATCACAAAGGAGAATTATTAGATTGGCTTACAGGATACAATCTGGGGAGTCTAACAGTGGCCATCTGCACACTGAAGAGTCTGAGGATTCAGTTAACAAAGCCAGGTAACTCAGCAGCCCCAGTCCAAGCCCACAGCCTGGAGATCCCACAGAGTCATTGGTAGTGTGTCCATGTTGGGAGGCAGAAGAAGCTGGAGCATCAGTCGGTGAAAGTCAGTGGTAGCCACACATGCTGTCATTTCCCAGGACATCTTCAAACACAGGCCACCTGTTGGATATGGTGCTGGCTTAGAGAGAGGGTCTTCCCTCCTCATGGAACCCTCACAGACATGCACAGAGGTGTGTCTGCTGAGTGATTCTAGACCCATACCTGGCATATACACAGCTAGTCAACTGAGAAGGCCTAGTCACCATACATGCAGGTGCCTATAGCAGAAGACTGAGAGAAAATATCTTTTTATAAAAAAAAAAAAAAAAGTGTTCCACCAGAAGACACAAAAACAAATGCCCAGTCACTCAGAGAGGTGACTCCCAAGGCTCTGACATAGAAACACTGTTCAGGTAGTACTGATCCCTTCCAAATATTGGCTCCTGTGTTCCCTAGTGGCAGGGAGGACCCACACCCTTAAGTGTTGGTCTTAGGAATTCTGAGAGACTAGAGGTCTGGGGTTCGAGCTGGCATTCGGTTTCCTCACCCTTTGGGAACTCTCACCCTTCCAATAACCCTCAGCAGTAGGAGCCCCTGGCCTGGTCTCCCATCTTATTCAGCATCAAGGACCCACCAGGCTGGTCTCCCATCTTACTCCTCTTGTCTCACATCTGGTTGATGGTGAGACTAGAATTGTTTGACACCAGACCAATCTCCTCTAGCCCACATGTTACGATAAATCTTTCCAACAAAAGCTGCCCAATCATCCCTAATGGCAGAATTATTGGTAGCCCAAAATCCTCTATGAGTCTCTCCACCTCCTGGGGGTATAAGACCTTGTGTGGTATTTCAGGAGGGCACATGGGTAACCCATGTGCCCCATGCCACCTAACAGGAGGCTTTCCGTTCTCTGTTCACCTGTACATTTCTAGCATGGACTTTCTAGCATGCTTGGGTGCTGCCCCTGGGTCTGGGGAGGTTCAGCTGCCCGTATGTGATGAGAGAAGTCGGATGTCACATTAGAAGAACATTTGCCCTTGGTTGGCCTACAGTGTATGAACCGGCCCTTCAGTAGAGGCTTTTCCAGTGGAAGGTAATTGTGATTCCTAATCACTCCATTTTCTAGGCATGAATCACCTTCCTAATATATAATAATAGGGAGAGAGGCTGCCGACCCTGTGTTCTGTAAATACCAGGGCCCATGCAAAGCACAGCGAAGCTTTTCTTTTGTGTCTAACGTCTTACAAACTGAACCCTTCAGACACAGAGTCCCCATTAAGTAACAAAAGAGGAAATGAACAGGGAGACGAACTGCAATTGGAAATCAAGGTGTTAATAACATGAGCTAAACCAAGAAAAGCACTCTTCACTTAGTCGGATCCTTCCAGCATGGAATGGAGCAGCAGTGTACAGCAGCAGCGGGAGAAGTGAGCTGGGGAAATCACCGGCACCATCTGGAAATGCTACCGTGACAAATAGGAGCTCCCCGGTTCCCATTAGACTTCAAGTTTAACCTTTATTATTTTTCCATTTGATTTTTATATTTACACTTTGTCTGCTGAACTAGAATTAGAAACGCTGAGAATAAAGACTAGATTAGAATCTTCTCAGCACCATCAGCTCTATATTGGACACATACACACACACACACACACACACACACACACACACACACACACACACACACACACACCCAAAAAAAATCATACACACACACACACACACACACACACACACACACACACACTGCTCAGAAAACTATTTTGTTTGAGAATGTCTATTTGAAATTGCCTTGGAGGACTCTTAGAAGCCAAGGAAACTGCTTAAGATTTGCTGTAGCCTCCAAGAAGTGCAGAGCTGTAGTGGGAAGTGACCGACTGTCAGCAGGAGATACCCAGATATGGGTTAGGAAGTAAAAGAAAAGCACAGGGAGGGCAGGCTAGGTTTGCTTTACAATAAAATGGCCATACAACCTGGGGACTGGGGTCAGGTCCCCAGCACTAACATAAGAAAGACTGGTTACATGTAGCTCAGGCTGCAACCCCAGCATAGAGGAGACAGAGCTGTGCAGACCCTTGGAGCTCACCAGGCAGCCAGATGAACCAAATCTGGGAGCTCCAGGTTCAGTAAGAGACCCTGTCTCTAAAATAAGGTGGGGAGTGAGTGAGGAAGACACTTGACATAGACTTGTGGCCTCTACCCGCCCACTGTGCATGAGAATTCCTGAAAAGAAATTATCTACACAGGGAAATTGACTGATTAAAACTTCAATGATGCGGAAAGGTTGGAATACCGCAAGTGAGAGCAACCTTTAGCCTAACAAAAGCCATTCCTTACACACCTCTGAGTGAGATCTACCCTCCTAATAAACAGATAAAGACCTTTGGAAAGCATTAACGTAAAACAAAACTACTCTCCATCACTGGGAGTGCTAAGACTGTCATCAAATAACATCTGATGGCTACAAGTCCTCTACCCAAGCATAACCCACCTTTCTGATGTCCCACCAAGGTATTTTTTTGCATGCCTTAATTTATAGCTTTCTTTGTCCATTAAAACAAAAGTCCATAAAACCATGTTTACAAGCCATGATCACTCTTGGCTCCAGAGTAAACCATTTCTGGCCCTAACTAAGTCAGAGCGATCGCTGCCTGAGTTCCCTAGAGAATTGTGTGTGGGGTAAGCAGCAGTGGGCTCCTTAGCTGCTTCACCCTGACTGAATCCTATCTTTAGATATCACATACCAAGGACAAGGTAGTATTATCTCCAGAATTTCTCAGAAGTCACATCGGACTCTGCTTCAGTTACCTACATCTTCTCATTCCTTCTGACGATGGAGAAAGTTGGCAGCAGCACTGAAGCCCCTAACACCCATCATCAGGGACCTCTTCCATTACACTGGCTTATGTGAAGGCTGACCCTTGGCCTCTGTTGTCTGTGGTTGCTGCTTCCAGGGCATGACCCCAGCTCCTGTCCTGCACTGTGGTGGTGACGATTCATACACACAGCACATGGAGCTTGTGTCCACACATCCCATGGATGTCCCTGAGTTTTACCAGGTGCCTCGTCACTGGTCCCTGCAAGGTGACAATCCCTCACTGAGAAGACATAAATGACCACGAGGAGCCTTCATTCAGGAGCCAGGGGTGGAGTCCTTAGCCACCCAGCCTTGTAGGAAAATGCAGTTCTCTTCCTTGAAACTCCCTGTCTGAAGTCCCAGGCCATACGCACAGACACAGAAAACAGCAGTGATGGAACTGTCACCACTTTACCACCACGCCCTTGCTTCTCCTCACAATAAGATCGCTGAGCTTCTCTGAACTCTATAGATTTGGGGAGGCTGGAAGAAGACAGGGAGAGAAGAGATCGCTGAATTAAGATGGACAGTAGAAAACCAGATCAGTGAGATGGGAGGACTTAGCCTAACATGCTCTTTGTTAATATGTGTTTGGAAACTTCTAGAATGAAGAGTTTTCTAAAATTCTGTGTATCCTCAAAATCCAGGTCACTCTCAACTTATACAGGAAGGTGTTCTTACTACTCATTACACATAGATAGACCCCTTCCTAGACAAACTCAAACAGTGTCGTCATTGTTATCAAGATAGAATATGTACTATGTCCATATATTGTGCAGGGTTTATTGTTTTTTGTTTGTTTATTTGTTTTGTTTTCTTGATAGGGTTTTCACACCCCTTCAATTTCATGGCAGAAGGGACCAGAGATCAACTAATAATTTATAAAGATGTAGAGATCATCTTTGTTGTCATTGTGGCTGAACTTGGAATCCCTTAGGAGACACACCTCCAAGTGTGTCTGCTGAGGGTGTTTCCAGAAAGGTTTAACTGAGGACTGAAGAACCCCTCCAGCTGTGTGTGGCTCCATCCCAAGGGCTGGGGTCCTGGGCTGAACTAAAGATAAAAAGCAAGGCAGCCAAGTATTACATTCCTCTCTCTGCTTCATGATAGTGACACAACATGGCTAGCCCCCTCACCCTCCTCACAAGCCATGTATTATGGCCTTTGTCTCCTCAAGAGCTACCCATTCCTCCCATAGGTTATAACTTGCACTATTTCTTCAGTGCAAACTTGGGTTAATTATGGATGCTACATAAAGATCTGTTAGGAGATGTAAAGGGCACATGAGTGCCAGCACAATCATCTCATGGGCTAGCATTTACCCACCATATATAAGAGTTTCTAAAGACATAGGGAAGAACATACAATGCTAAGTGAAAAAAATGCCAGGGTATAAAATATTATATATTATTTATATCATTATATATGTGTATATTGACTTATGCATACATTATGACCTCACCCTGTAAAATGAGCTGGAGAAAAGACTAGACAGATCTGCATATCAGGATATACTTATTTCTGTTTGAGGGGTTATTGTATTTTTTTCTCTTAAATTGTATTTTCAAAATCTGGTTTAATAGTCATCTGCAACAAGAGACAGCAAACATTTTCTGTAAAGGGTCAAATGGTAAAATGTTTTTGCTCCACAAGCCACACAGTCCCGGTCACATCCTTTCCACTCAGCTGTGGTAACTTACAAGTCTCTCTAGATAAAGTGATGATGAATGGGTGAATGCATCCCAATAAAACTTTATTCATAGAACCAGGAAGTATCCCTGATTTGTTTCATGACTGGTCATCAGTGGCTGACTTCTGCTATAATATTGAATGTCAAGAAGTCAATGTTATTTAGGAATGTTTTCTTTGACTATGAGGCTGGCACATGGCTGATAGATCACGGTAGAGAAGCTTTACCTCCATGCTTCATTCTGTACCCTTGCACCATAAAGCATCATTGAATTTATTCATTAGCAAATGTATGAACGCTTTTTAAATTATTGTTTTGTATGTATGGGTGTTTTGCTGGCATGTAGTATTGCAGCATGTGTACGCAATGCATGCAGAGCCCCTGGAAGCCAGAAGATGGTGTTGGATCCCCTAGAACTGGAGTTACAGATGGCTCTGGCCGCTGTGTGGGTGCTGGAAACTGAACTCAGGTCCTCTGGGAGCGCAGGCAGTACTCTTAACCACCCAACTATTGCTCTCACTGGAAACTTTGTGTGAAGTAGATTAATATTTCACAGTAGATGTAATCGTACAAATTTCATCTTCCTTATAGGCCTACCATATTAAGCTTATTTCAGTTTTCTTTTGGCTTCATCACATTCTTGAAATCTCTTATTCTTTCACACATAATATAGGATGACTAGCAAAAACTAAAACTTGTCTTTATTTCCTTTTTCCTCCAGATTTTCTGAAGCAAAGGCTCTGGGAGAAAGTATAAATGAAACAAGAAATAAAATTGGTAAGCAGATGATATTCTGGAAGCTACTTTCACCATTTTCCAGTGGACTCTGGGTGGTGTTGTGCCTTCTTCATATAACCATAAAGTCTAGCCTACATACCTGCCCAGGGAGCCGGGGACACACACCTCACTGAAAGGTGCTTTTGTATATGTCAGTCCTGAGCTTGTGCCAGGTATCTCACTGGGTGGCTTACCCAGTGAGAAAGTCGTACTTCTTTTTCCTTGTGTGTTTCAGAAGTAGCTCGGCCTGTCATAGTCATGTAATCACAACAGCACTGCTTCATATTCCTAAGGGCTGTGAAGTAGTGTTACACCACCCAAACTTGGTGCTGGGCATTTTCATCACCATCCCTAAACCCAAAGATGAGAAGCCAAAAGGCGTACCTCTCCCAGCTGCTGAGCTCCCCATTTAGATAAGCTTGCCTGGAAAAGCAACAGACAAATCTGAAAACACATGTGCCTCAAGTCTTTGTCAAAGCAGAAGGAAAATGTGTCTTACCCTTGGCTACAAGACACAACCAAGACCCATCTCCCTGACAGAGCAGCTTCACAGAGGGGACCCTTCGGCCTCTGTGTTCCAGAAAGCAACTGTTGCCTGTTTGTAACTGGTCCCTGGGCTCCTTCTTGCCCCCACCTCCCCCTCAGAAGCCACTTTGAGTGCCTCCTCTGGCTTATTCTGCAGAGTCTAGAAAATCAGGGTAGCCCCAGTCCATCTAAGTCAAGGAAACAGTTCTCATTTACATACAGGGCAGAGCTGCATCAGGTAGGCCCTAAGTCACACCTACTAGGAGTCCCTGAATTCATTTGGAGCCCAGGAGCTTGGATGGTTTGGTGGTTGCTTTTCATTTTCAGGTTAACACAGTCTAATAACAACTAGGAATGGAGTCTCAATGAGGAAGTGTCTAGAACAAGTTGGTCTGTGGATGTGTCTGGGGTGAGGGTTGTCTTGATCACATTAATGGGTGTGGGAAGACCTAGTCCACCTTGAATGGCACTATTCTCTAGGTTTAGGGCCTGGGCTGTGTAAGAATGGAGAAAATGAGCTACGGAATAAGCGTGTTTGCGTTTATCTCTCTCTGCTCTTGACTGTGGGTGTGATGTGACTGATCTTTCATGTTCTTGACACAGTGACTCCTTTTTATGATGGACTTTGACCTGGAATTGGGAACTGAAATAAGCCCTTTCTCCCCTGCTTTTTGTCAGGACATTTTTTTTTTATCACAGCAAGAGAAATGAAGCTATGATAGATGGGGAAAGTAACTTAGCTGAAATTGAGCACTGCCTTCAGCGGTGGGGGGAGGCAAGTGATGGTGTGAAGCTGATAGCACCTGCCTAGTGAAATAGTACTCACCATAAGGCAGTCTTCGTAGTATACCTCTGATGCTTCTCTGGCCTTGAGCATTGTAGTAGTGATTAGACTCAATGTTGGATCTTCATCAATATTTCTACATCAAAAAATACTTTCAGAGCTTTGGTAAGTATTTCTTTATAATTATCAACAATGTAGGCATGCTAGGCCACCAGTAACATGTATATACCAGATGCATTTCTACAATATGGTGTGCAAATGTGTCTTCATAACAGAATATAGCAGTGGCCCTGCTTGTCCCATTTATCCCTATAGATTCTCAAAGGGGTTAAGGGGAGAGGACTACACTTGACCTACGCAGACTAGATGCTTATTTGTGATTAATACAAAGAGGGTCAAGACATGCTGTCACAGCCTTGGGGACGTGACATCAGGGTTCTATTTCCCCCAGAAAACTGTGAGTAGAATTGACATCGATGCCAAGATTTAACCTTCCAGCAATACCAAGAAAGCAGCCAATTGAGAGGTGTAAACAAAGCCTGTGCCCTACTCCACAGCCACCACTACCTTTCAAACTGTCTTGATCCAAGAGGGGCCAGGTGAGTGGACTGTGAGGACCTGGCCTGACTCTTGAACAATACCCTTGTATTGTCCAGCCACAGGAAAGAGCCACATCATGGCATCATTGACAGATGGCAGGTTAAATGTAAAGAAGCTGGAGGTAAAACTCTGAGCAAAATATATGAGCAGAGCATAGATGGGCTATGCCACAGCTGGGGTCACCACCACTCAGCTCTGATCCCCACACTGCCACATCCCAGATCCGGGCAAGATCAGATGCCATGGAGTGTACTTGTAATTGGCCCACAGAGAGGAAACTACAGATCGACAAACCCGTATGTCTAAAGTGCAAGTAGCCTCTGTGTCCTTGGGTTATTCATTTTTCCCTGACATTGTGACCTACAGCTGTGTCTTGAGTTCCATCCTTAGAGGTTCCTGAGCACTTTCTATTTCACTGGTAGCCAAATAATACCTAATTTTTATATGGTAAAACTTTCCTATTATTTCTTTTCTCTTTTATTGCAGATTTTTTATTTGAATTAGAAACAAAATTGTTTTATATGACAATCCCAGTTCCCTCTCCCTCCTGTCCTCTCCTACCACACCCCTCAACTAAAACCCTACCTATCACATATCCTTTCTGCTCCCCCTGGATGGTGATACATCAGAGTCTATTGTATCCTTTGGGATAGGGCCTAGGCACCCCACCCCTGGGTGTCTTGGCTCAGGGAGAATCCTCTATGTGGAATGGGCTCCCAAAGTCCACACCTATGCTAGGGATAAGTACTGAACTACTACAGGAGGTCCCATAGATTTCTGAGGGTTCCTCACTGAAACCCATGTTCCTAGGGTCTGGATCAGTCCCATACTGGTTTCCCAGATATCAGTCTGGAGAGCAAGAGTTCCCCATTGTTCAGGTCAGCTGTTTCTGTGGGTTTCACAAGCCTAGCCTGGACCCCTTTGCTCTTCACTTGTCCTTCTCTGCATCTGGATTCCAGTTCAGTTCAGTGATTAGTTGTGGGTGTCTGCTTCTACTTCCACCAGTTGCTGGATGAGGGCTATCAGGTGGCATATAAGTTAGGCATCAATCTCATTATCAGGGGAGGGCATTTAAGGTAGCCTCTCTTCTGTTGCTTAGATTGTTAGCTGGTGTCATCTTTGTAGATCTCCAGACCTTTCCCTAGTGCCTGATTTCTCTGTAAACCTAAAATGTCTCCCTCTATTATGGAATCTCCATTCTTGTTATCATCTATTCTTCCCCTGACTCAACCTTTCTGCTCCCTCATGTCCTCTGCATCCCTCCTCTTCTCCCCTTATTCTCCTAGCTCCCTCCAGCCTCTTCCCATGCTCCCAATTTGCTCAGGAAATCTTGTCCCTTTCGCTTTCTCCAGGAGACCATGTATGTCTCTCTTAGGGACTTCCTTGTTTGCTAGTTTCTCTGGCAGTGTGGATTGTAGGCTGGTAATCCTTTACTCTATGTCTAAAATCCACATATTTGTGAGTAAATACCATGTTTGTCTTTTTGTGATTGCGTTAACTCTCTCAGAATGGTTTCTTCTAGTTCCATCCATTTGCCTGCAAAT